CTTCTGGGAGAGCCACTAACCATCCCCGCTTGGTAGCTGACTACCTTTACAGGAAGGACCTGTGCACTGGGAGCATACCTGGTATGGTCAGCATGAAACTGGTTAGGAAGTAACCTTAACCAAGGTATGGAATTGCAGAAAGCAGGAGGCTAATCACGTGTCTTTAACAATAAAAGCACTACATCGTACCCAGTCCCACTGCAGTTTTCTCCAGACTGCTTTGAGGCTTCAGCATCTTACAAAAGTCTGGAAGAATAAATCATGTCTTTACTACCATCTCCCGTGACAGTAATACTGTTAGAATTGTAGACCTGCAACTTCTGTGATTTATATATATCCCCCTTTGTCCCACAACCTCCTCAAGCCCCCTCCTCAGAGTGAAACGAGTCATATTCCACCCCCAGACCACACAGCCATAAGCTGGCCAGCAATGAGGGCATTCTTATGTGTCAGTCTCTGATTCTGACACTACTGCGTCTTGCAGCAAATATTTCACGTTCCCAAGTCACCCTGAGTTTTGATAAGCTGTATGTAAAGTAACTCACCAGCATCAAAATCCTTGTTATTATTTCAGCTGTGCCTCCGAGATAAGGCAGGTTGTAAACAGATCCAGTTGGACAGCAGATTTGCCTGGAATATGTGTGCTTGTTCTTTTGGAAATTTCAGAGAATGCTTGCTTGACTTGCCCTTTAGAAAATCTTTGCTATATTAGAGCTTCCTCTTTCCTGCTCGCAGATTCATGTTGTCTGCTGGAAGCAGCTGACAAAAACATCACATTCACTTTTTCCACACAGAAAATGTTTGATGTTCTGCTTCTCCATTACGTTGATCTGCAGCACATAACCTGAGAAGTGCTTTTTGTGGGTACAGAGAACAATGTCAGCCTGCCCAGCCTGCCACAGTCTATCTACCCAAGCTGTCTGCAGCAAATTATTTACCCACTGAGCTTGAATTTTGTTTCTGAACAGATAACAGCTTCTGTAAATGAATCTCACACCCAGAGCTACTCATTGAGTATTTTGCGTGAAGAAATTTTAGCAGAGGGACTGCACTCGTACTCCTCGCTGTTTAGCACTGTAATATTTGCAATCTAATATCAGATTGACATGGGACTGTTCCATGAAGTCGTACCGCTGTTGGAAAATAGATGCTGCCCAGTATCATCAGCTCTGCTAAGCTTATCATTAACAAATAACGTAGGCATGATTTAGCTATCCACCCGAAGTGCAGAATGCTCTTTGTTCCTCAGATATGTAATTTAGGTCAAAACATACACATTCTCCATCAGCTGCCATCTGTCAGATGGCTTCACAATGTGGAATTTTGGAGGCAGTTATTTTACTATACTTTCTTCTAAAAGAGCCATCCTGTAGTGAGAAAACAGACACTGATTTGGTTTCATATCATCAGACCTTGCATGGTAGAAAGAGATTCAGGAGTGGTTGCACCCCAGCACTGCTCAGCAAAGATTAAGACACTCTTCTGCCAGTTTTGTTGCTAATTCCTCCATTCTTGACAGGCCCTGGAGACTGGAGGTAGTATGTTTTCAAACCTTCTTTCCCCAGTGTGAGAGCAATACCTTACAACATACTCTTTATTTTTGTGCTTCTGATGCTCTTTCATGTTGGGAATGAAACTGAAAGCAACAGAAGATTTTGTTTCCTGATTCAGTCTCTCACTAGACTTAATGCTTGGCAAATAAATGCTCCCAACATTGATACATGAATGGAGATTTCAGAAAGATGGGATTGTTTGTAAATAAAGGGAGACTTCAATGTTTTTCTGATATTGTGAAGTATTTTGTTTTGGGTGCATTTCAAAACATTTTCTGTTCTAGTTCTGTATTTAGCACTGTTGTATTCATAACCTCCTGCGCAGTATTAATCATAATTATCAGATTCAACACTACTGTAATATGTAGCCAGAAAAGGTTTGGGAGCCATTTCTCCTCCTTATGTAGAGCGTAACACCCAAAAGCAGGATGACTAAAGCCCAGCAAAGCTTGCTGTTCATCTAGTAACTGCAGTAGGAAGGAGTATTCCCAAGAGGTTTGAGAATAAATTTCTTGAAGTATCACTGCAGAGACTTAGCCTGCTTTGGCAGCAAAGCTTTATTGCTTGCCCATTGTATTTCACCTGTGTATTCTACTTGACCAACAGGGGCTTCCTCCTCTCACACTGCTGTTCACAGGATCCAGCTGTGGCGAGAAGAGGGAGGACTGAGGCTGATCAGTTGGGCTGATCGCCTGGGGTTTGCACTGAGCCGCTAAAAAGACACCTACTGCAAAAAGTTGAGGAGCCAGCAAATGCTTGTTTCTCAGAAACATCTGTGTTTGAAAAATGAATGAGTTAGATAAAAGAGAGGCTATTAGCTCTTCTAAGTAAATTATTTAAACTTGCAACCTGTTTATATCTTTTTCCATATGAAAAATTAATATACCACAGGCCCTTTGCATTTTCATGGTAAACAAATCTATTTATAGTTTCTTCTCACCTAAGGAACAGAGAAAAGGGATTTCCACTGCCAGGGTCAGAAATTTTATGCATCAATCCTGCTGCTACCCTGCCTCTGCCCCAATGGAGACAACTCAATGAGCATCTAAATATTAATAGAGAGAACCCATGAATCTCCAGAGCACAGAATGCTACTAAGAAAGAGAAGCTGAGTCAAAATTGCTGCTCTTAACATTTGTGAAGGATGAAATGAGGATTTTCTTCATGTACCACTAAGGAACTTGGCCTTAGACTGATATTTGATAAAAATAATGGTCAATCTTCAACTTGGGTGCATAAGCTAGGCTTCTCTTTCTTTCTTTCTTTTTCCCACATTAATGCACTGCCTGAGCAAAACCACCCTCATTTTCAGCAGTGCTGAGCAAATGCCCCTCTGATTCATTTCACTGGCAGTTAAGAAATCTTGCCACCTCTGAAAATCAAATACTGCTTAAATTTACAGCTCCTCTATTTCAAAGTATCTCTTCCAGTCTCCATCCATTTAAATGGAGAAATGAGAAGCCAAGGGCACACGGTGATCTGGGTAGTTAATGATGTTTTTGGCAATGTAACGAATGAATGAAATGCTTGGGAATAATGGCATCAACTTGGATTTAACAGTTTCACAACAGTGTCACTTTCCAAAAAACAGATTTTTCCCCATGCATTTCTTTATGTACCAGTTGTGGCAGATCACAGTTGTGTTCCCTCCCACACCTCCGTTTTAATTTCTGTTATACATCTGAGCAGGCAAGCAGACTGGGCATGTTACTTACTGCCCTGTTTTCAAAGGTGTAGGAATCCTACCTCATGTCTCAGATTTGCTGGACATGTGGCATGAGGTGATTGTTGCCCTTCTTGCCTTGGAGAAAGGAAGAAGAGAGATCAATTCCAGATTTGCTTGAGTGGGTCACATCATCATTACCACACGATGTCAAATGTTTTTAGTGAATGGAAACTGCAGACTACCTAATCCCTCTGGGACAGTCGCACTGAGCTTATCATTGTAAATAGGAACAGATTCTCCTTTCCCTTGTGACCTCCAATTAGCATCTCTCTGACTACTCCCATGTATTTCTAGCCCTGAGAGTGACTGTGCCTGTGTTTGAAGCCTTCCCGCACCTGCCCTGAGAAGTGGCAGCTTTGTCTTCCATGTCCTCTGTGCGGGGTGGCTGTCTGGCAGCAAAGTTTTATTATTTGCCCATCTGTGAGACTGCTGTCTCGGGCATTTCAGCATCTTTATGGACCTGTCTTTCAGGACCTTCTGCTTCCTCTCGTTACTTATTTATTGCATTTAGCTGCTTATTTGGCTGACAGTGCACTGTCCGTCCTTGTATACCTTATACCCTCTGATGCGCCCCATACATTTTAAAGACAATTTTATTAAAAAAATAAAAGTAGGTGTGTTAAATAACGATTTGTCTGGCCAAGACCTCAAAGGAAGATTTAGCTGAGCTACAGTGTGAGCTTGATGCTGTTGTGGAAGCTGAGGCAGTATTTAATTTTCCTTCTGCAACGTAATTTGTTGCAGCATACCCAAACAATTGCCATTGAGATGCTGGGCAAGCAAACAATGAAGGGAAAGCAATCCACCAGCAATTTAACACTTTCTGATCTCCATACACTCATCCAGGTGTGTAATGCTGGCATATTGGTTGACACCGTGAGTTTAATGCAAGCACATATTTAAGGGGTCACTGTTTTGTTCTTTGATCTTCAGTGAAACACAGCTGAAATAACACGCAGGGACTTCTGGGCTGCTAGAAGTTTTACACAGAACCAACTGCAGAGTCCTTTTCCTCTGGAGATGGATGATCTACAATGACTATCTATTTCTTTCCCTGGTATTACTAATGTGAAGTGTATATTGAGTATTGCTTTGTGAGAAATCCTTTGATACTTTTGTTAAACATTGTCCTTTGCTAAAGCTTTATCTCTAGCAACAAATCTGGTGTGTTTTGTACAGACGAAATAAGCGATAAAACAGCTTATTCTGTTAAAGGAGACCATTCACATTTAAAATGAGATTATTCTTTACAAGAAACGCGGCTTATCTGTCCTAGGGAGAGGTTCCTTCCTCTCCTCAGATATCGCCCTGAAAGGCACAACAAAGAAGCATCTCTTCGGAGATCTTCCTAAGGCAGCAGCTACCAAACCATAAGAAATTCCCCAGAGCTGCCATCTCAGCACTTCTCACAGCTGCGCCATCAGTTCCAGGGCCGTGCCTAGAAGGGTCTGAAAATCCCCATCCCCTTAGGTGTGCTGTCCTGATTCAACCTAGGGCACGGGCCCGGCTGAGAGGTGCTAACAGAAAAGTCACCTAGAGCCATGGGTATTATCCACTATTGCTTCTTCACGGTGGCAGCAAGGTACAAAAAGTTCGGGGAACTTCAGAGATGACAGGCTAAAGGACTGAGGAGCAGGCAGCGTCCTCCCATCCCCTTCCACCAGCAGGGAACAACACTAAAAGGCACAGCTGAACGGACTGCGGCTCAGAGGCTGCTGTCACGGGATCGACCTTCACAACCCCGGGCCTGCCGGGCGCGACCCTTCTCGAAGGGCAGTGCCCGCCCGCAGCCAGCCGGGCGCGGCTCGCGGCCACCGCGGCGCCAGGAGGGGCAGCGCAGAGGCTCGAGCCGCACCGCCATGGCGGCGGAGGGGCGGCCCGGCCGCGGGGCGGCAGTTCCAGAGCCGGAGGGACGGTTAGGCCCCGCCAGAGGGAGCCGGAGACCGCCGGCCCGCGGCTGAGGTAAGGAGAGGCCGCCGTGCGAAGGAGGCGGTGGCGGAGTCCCGAGCGCTGGCAGCCCGTGCCTGATGGCTGCCGTGGGGTTCCGGGATCCCTAATGAAGCTGCGACGGTCAGTTCAAGCTGCTGCTCTGTGGCTCGCAATCCGTAATTTGTATCATTCGATCTGATAGTAACTCTGTGGTCGTCATGCTTATCTACGAGACGCCCTGCGAGGCGCTGTTTTCCCGGCTCGCCCAGTCGCGCTGCGGTAACTCGCTGCGTAATTCCTGGCTACGGCGCTGTGCCGGAGCTGCTGAGGCGCTCTCGTTTGTGCCAGGATGGAGCGCGGGCCTCGCTCCCCCCTGCACCCACACTGCAACCCTACCCGACATCTCCTCAGAGGTTCGAATGCCACAGGTGTTTGCTGCTTCTGTTCTAAGCTTGCAACTTTTTTTTTAATTGCTGTGTTTACCTTCAGGTGCTTGTTAATTTCTGAGGAAGGTCAGTGCAGCTTCATTATGTTGGTTTCTGAGGGCTAGAAATCAAAAATAACTCGGCACAGTGAAGTGTGGCACTGTTAAACGCCAGAGAACGTTAATTGCAGCTGTCCTTGGAGCTGCGTCTGAAACCTGGATCAAACCCAGCTTGCACTTGAGTGAGGTGTAGGAAGAGCTAGGTATGTCAGCAGGACTGCCAGGCAGAGTTCTGAGCAGGGCACAGAACTCTAGGAGGTCACATTTCTTCTCTGAAAGGGGTAGTGAGGTGTTGGAACGGGCTGCCCAGGGAGGTGGTGCAGTCACCATCTTTGGAGGTGTTCAAAAACTGTGTGGATGTGACTCTGAGGGACATGGCAGGGATGGGTTGGTGGTTGGACCAGATCGTCTTAGAGGTCTTTTTCCAACCATAACAATTCTATGAAAGGTATGTCATCCATCCTCACTGGAGTTTTGAGCGTTTAATTTAGAAAGTTGCCTCCAGACTCCTGGGATACAGGCTGGATGAAATTCCTTGTTGAGCAGACGTGCCTACAAACAAAAGTGAGCTCTTATTCTTTCCTTTACATATCCTCATCATAGGAGAGGAGATGGAGGTGTCGCCTTGGTATATAACACCTTGCTAGAGAAACCGAGCAGAAAGTGAGTGATTGCTTGCTTTGCAATGTTGTGACTTCCAAAGTCACATCTCTCTCTTTTCCTAGAAATAAGCCTGCAGCTTACTGGGAGAGAGCTGGAGTGCTTGTTACCTCCGTCACTATGCAGAAAATAACATATGGGAAAGGGAAATTTGGCTCCTGCATGAGCGGCTTCAATCGCTTGTGAGCCCAGAGCTCTGATCCCTGCCTCAGAGACTACACAGTTGTTATAGCCATTAGTAATGGTCCTTTGGGAAATGCTCAGAACCAAATGCTGCCTTCCCCAGGTGCATGTTTCAAGTCTTCACGTGTTCTATTAAAGGAGACTGTTAAATCAACAGGCAACAGCTGAGTGAAGGCTTTTCCTATTTAGGATCTCAGTACTTTACTGATGCCTAAGACTGCTCCTTTAAAAAACAAAAACAAAAACAAACAGAAATTATGATGTGATCCTCTTTTTCTGTATTTTCTGTAAACTTAAATATTTCTGTATGCATCTAAATGGCATGAATAATATATGTATGTATATCTATTCAGAAACACAAATGACTGCTTTGGAAATAAGCAAAAAAAAAAAAACCCAAACCCAATGTTTTAGTGTTTAAATTCACACCAGTATGTGTAAGTACTGTGAAAATGTCAGGATGGAGATTTCAAAGCTAATGAAAAGAACTGTGTCAGCACACATATGTACTAGTCGTGCAGATGAAAGGTACAGAAAGAGCTTCTGAAGTGGAATTTACATACATTAGCTTTGTAATTGTATGCACAACAGGCAATTATACAAGAGTTAATAAAATAGTAGTAATGATTTGTACCAGGTAATTGAAATTTATGAAGCAGTTTTGGTGTCTCTAATAAAGCTGTGATGGCCTCAAGTAGAGATAATGAGTATGACAGAAGTGACTAGCATGAATAAACTCAATTACTGCTGCATTTGTCTAACAAAAATAGTAAAATATTTTTTTAAGTGTCAGAATGTTAGTATCATCATTATATAAATGGGAAACTGAGGTAGGAATGTAAATCATGCTTCAGTTTGCTTTGCAACTGAATACAAAAGACAGAAGTGGGATGCTGCAGTCTTCCATGGCAACACCCTTTCTCCTACTTAGTAAAGTGTTGGCTGTTACTACAAGCAATGGGTAAAGTGACTTGAAAACCTAGTGCACGTTTCTGCAGGGGCTGCTGGTGTGTTTCAGCATTACTTCTACCCTGGTGGTGTGCTCCCCAAAATGCTGTTGTGTTTTTCAATTTGAATTCTTTCCCTGTGTTTGCACTGCTTGAACTGTAACTATTATTTAAGTGTGGAGTTCTGTCTGAAGCTGTTAGCACAGAAGCAAGCTCATGCTCTGGGGTGCTGGTATCTCTGTGCCTTTGAGGTGTGTGACAAAAGGAAGAAGGGAGATGTCTGAATGTAGCAGTGTGTTTGAGCAGGGCTTGCTTTTCTAAGTCCTGTTTCTATGCATAGGGTTTGCATTAAGGTTAATTTTGTGTTTTGTATACCACAGTATATATTTCCAAGGTGACAGCAAGTGCTTTTCTTTAGCAGAAAGTTCCGTGTAATTTACAAATAAGGTAATTGCCATCCAATTGGAAAGGCCTTTGCTTTCTGTGTTCTGTGGGGCTTTCAGTTGGACAGAACATTGAGACCTTTGTGCTGGGAAGGCCTCGCTTCTCTTTATGTTCTTGTTGTATTGCAATATTGGTCTTTTAAAGAAAGTGTGTTCACTTTGGGGTAGAATGAAACAGCATGGAATAGGTTCTTTCAGCACTGCCACCAGTCACACAGCTTTCTCATGCTTCAGAAAAGCCCTGGATTGTAGTGGTCTGGATGCTAAGCAGCCAGAATTGTTGGTTCAGAGTTATTTGGAAGGATGCATTAGGAGAGATGGGAAAATTCCAGGAGTAAGGCAGTAGAAGTAGTGGCAAACAAGTCAATTTGGTCAGTGTTGAGTAAGGACTGTGGGCAGCACAGAGGTTGGAAGTCAGATTGGAAGGAGTGAAGTACTGGTGAGAAGGCATGAGAAAGGGGGAAGGCTTGCAGAAAAAGTGTTTTTGCATGGGCACCAGCAATTATGGTCTCTTCCCACTTGTTTTGCTTTTAATAAACATCCTGATCCCTGCACTGTATGCTCTCTGGGCAGCATGTCACTTAATTATTTTTCATTGGATGGAAAAGCTGTAATTCCACTAAATTAAAAATAGAGCTGTAAATGGGCTTGGTTTGATCTCTGTGGCATCTGTAGCGGAGGAACAAGATTAATTTCAGCAATTAGATGTTAATTGATGTCTGAATATGTCTATTCCTAGAAACAGCAAGACCGCATATAGCATAACCAGCACCATTAAAACAGCATCGTCTCCCCTCTGTGCTTTGCAAGAACTGAGCTGGAGGGGGAACTTGCCAGGGACGCTGGTAAATAGAGTGCTGGGGATGCTGCGAAAGGAACAGACGCTCGTGGTGGGGAAGAGGAAGGGCAGCCTCTCTGAATGGTTAAGAGCTGGTGGTTAAATGCACAGAGTGTTGCAGAAGAACTGTGCTTTTGTTTGTTAAACATAAATCCACTTTATTTTCATTTCATTGCTGGTCAAGTCTGCTCTAAGACTCACATCATAAGCAACTACAAAGGTTTATTACCTTTGATGAAATACCCGATGAAGAGAAAAAATATATATATAGTTTTTCAAAGGCCAAAAAAATATACTAACAATTTTGATTAAATGGAATAAGAGGTCACTGAATCTGGTCTTTAACCTACTGTGTGTAACAGCTTCAGCTACATCCATTTCAATAATGAGATTCTGTTTCTGTGCTGCCTGTGCCTTATATATGAAGCACCATGCACTGTATATATTTCATTTTGTTTCCATTTTACAATACAGTAAAAATCTTTTTCAACCAGAATAGATGCTAGCCTTGGATACTGAAGTGCTGAATAGAACAATAAATCCTGTGCATCACTGGCCTGACTTTCATCCAGTAGTCTCAAAGAGCTTTATAAACATCAAGTAAGCTTTCCAGCATGCCGATCGCAACTGGGGAGAGTATTACTGCTGTTCTGCAGCTATTATTATTAATTTGTATCACCACATCACATTCAGGACTTTACTACGTACATAGTGAAAAGCTAAGTCCCATCCCAAAGACCTTTTGAACAATTGTAACGACAGAAAAATAGGATTGAGATGCAAGAGACTGGAGGAACACAGGATAACGGGACAAAGAAAATTAAATATATATGAAAGTGACCAGTGTTGGAACAGCGTGGTCTGCCCAGCCGTTGTCATCTATCTTCTGGGCAATGCAGCAGAGATGAGATCTGAGGAAATGTGTGCCTAAGGCGCTCTCGGAAAGGTTGTGTCAATATTAGGAGGAAAAAAATTGTAGGCTGGAGGTTAACTGAACTGTGGAGGAGTGAGGACCATTGCTTTATGCATGGTAGGAATCAAAATGGAACCAGTGGGTTGAGGAAAAGGGGAAGTAGAGTGGTCAGCTCCTAGCCTGTACAGAAACATCAGCAGAGTGAACATGGATAGTGGGTGTTACTGCGGAATTTGCTCTGTCTGTGCTTTGGGGTAATCTCAATCTGGTATTCCTTTTCCCAGACATCAGGGTGTTTGATTTCCTTTGGGTTTTTTGGAGCAGAAGAAGGGAAGTACTGAGATTGTACCACTGTGTGTGGAGCCCTGCACGCAGCCTGATCACCTGAGGTCGGACAGTAAGCTGCAGCATGTGCGGAGAGTGCAGTTCTGGTGATTCAGCAACTGGAGAGGCAATTTGAGGAAGCAGTGTCTGGCAGGTTTAGTGCAGTAGTTGTTAAGTCTGGTGTGTCACTCAGGCTCACCCTTCCATTCTTTGTGGAGTCTGAAAAGCAGAGCACTGCTGT